AATGGATATCCACACTACAGTATGTTAGGAGACCTTTTTGATACCACTTTGATAATTCTTTGCAAACCTCCATTAGAAACAGAGAAAAGCCACTTCAAGAGTGTGCACTTACAGCTTACTGTTTACCTATACACTCATAAGATCAAAACCCCTGGTCTTACTGTTTTTGTTAACAAGGAGCAGTAAAAGTCTTCCCACATACTGAGTTTTGGTTTCCATTTTACAATCTGAGATGACAGACGGCACAAAAATGATGAGAAAACTGTGGGGAGGCTTCCAGAAGATTGATTCTCTCATCAGCTGATTCTTTTCTAGTTAGTCTTTTATTGACTACAAAGGTATAGCCAATGCAGAAAAGGAAAACCAGACTGCCCTGTTTAATCCTGAGGGCATTGGCAAAAGGTGATCACTTTTTGAGAAAACAGAGGCCTACAAGGAAATCAGCGCACTGTATGAGCCGTTAAGCTGATTTAAACACACAAGGGATGCCTGGGGTTGAGCGCAAGATCTCTGAGGTGTGAGATGAGAATGAAACCATTCCACAGACTAATATTACTGAGCTTTAGTAGCAGGTGGTACAGTTGATCAGTCAGGAACCTGTCATTTGGAGAATAGGCCAATATATCTGAGAGACACGAAAAATCCTTCATTTTTTTTCCCTCCTTCTCACCAAGAGGAAAAATATTGCAGTTTTGAACTTTGGGCAATTATCAACTACAAGTTATCACAATTTAGGCACCTATAAGAAGTGAGCGAAACTAAAAGGTAGCTACATTTTCTGACATTTGTCTAAGACTGCAGACTATAGAATAACTCATCGTGGCTGAACCAGATATTTAGTTCTGATGTCAGTCCATCTGGAATGAAGCCTTTACATGCTAGCAGCATAACCTGCAATCCAGACAGCCCAGAAAAATCCACATGGAATTTGCATAGGTAGAGAGAGAAGTAAAGATTCACATTTCCCTTTCTGTTTTGCTGATTTTGTGATTTGGATGGTTGTTTTTGTTATCGGCATGTTATTACTTAAACAATTGCAGAGAAAAATCTGCAATTTGACAATATCCCCTTGCTGACTGGGGTCTTAGAGAGAGGATAAAATGTTAAAGTGTGGTATTAACTTATATTTGTAATGGCACGATCTGACCCTATCATTCTCCACTTTCTAATTCCTGCAGACAATTCAACAATCTAAGACTGAAGTGACAAATTAAATAAAGTATAATAGGTGAAATACTACATGTTTTAAAAAGGTATTTTCCCTACAACCTACTCTGCACTGAGAACATTTAGATTTACAAGAAGAGTTAATGAGAATATTATTAAGGTATTTTATTAAAACTAAGATACCATCAAATTCAAATGCACCTAATTTCGAACATGTTATGTCCTAAAATGAGGAGATAAAATATTTGATTTGGCTTTCATTTACCATGAGTTAACCATAGAATTCCTAGATACATCAGTCTTCTCTTCAAGTAATCTTTTCTGACAGTACATATCATTAATGATTATACTGACAATTATTTTTTGAATGTCCACCAGATATTTTGTAATTTCCTCAATTCAGGAGAATATATGATAGTGTTTGTGTGTGTGTGTGTGTGTGTGTGTGTGTGTGTGTGTGTGTGGTTTACAGTCAATAATAAAAGAGTTGAAGAAGATTTCCTTCATCAACTATCTCTTTACTTCTTTACTAGAATGTTTTGATAATAGAGCCCAGAAATAATATACTAAAAAATGCCAGAAAGAAACAAATACCAGAAATAACTTTGCAGAGGATAAATTCTTCTTAAAACTTTAACCAATTCAGTTTTACACATTTTTAAAAAACATATTTGCAATATGCTGCCTTCTCATTACTTCTGCCAGTTCTTCGGTTTGAACCTTGACATAATGCACTAATGCTTACATGCATGAACTCAAATCAGGAAATTATTTTCTCTGACTATAGTCCTCTGTCTTTATGCCTCTCTCACCCCTTTACACCTACTGATTTCATATTGTCCCAGGTCCATTGATACCTGCCTATTGTAAAAGCTAATCAGCTTCAGCTCCCTCTTGCCCTCCTCTATCTCCCCATCTCTGGTCAGCCATAACAAAGATCTGCATTTCTTCATGCTAGAGATGATGTCTCTGGACTTCCTGATTGTCAGAAAATGGCCAAGCAACACCGACACACACCCCAGAATGATAGATGGCATTCACAGGGGCAAATTCAAGGAGCAGGCTTTACGGCAGGTGTTTAGGCCCAGTTGCCCCATCCTCTACTGTACAGAGCACCAAAACCTGCCAGGACTCCTGGGGAGGCTCAGAGACCCCTGGACAGGGGAATTGTCCAAGATCAAGGAAGCGCTGCCCCTCCACTGGCATGATCAGAAGTCAGGGTACAACAATGCTATAATGTTCCAGATATTGACTCCAACCTTAACCTTGCAGTACCAGCTCCTCCCCTAACCCAGTCACGGGGCCAGAGAAGAGCCATGCAGTTGAAGTTGTGTCAAGCACAGGGCATAACCCTTCATGAGTGAAGAAACACCAGGCCCTTCACTGGTTTGGTAATGAAGCTGGGGCCCAAGTCTTGTAGAGGAACCTTTACCACAGAGCAAGCACAGTATATCAGCCTTCCCCACTGATGAAGCACCGGCCTCTTCCTAGGCATGATGTGGGACTGGGATCCAAGCCTTGTCATTGACCAGGATCAGTCGCTGGTTTCCACAGAACTTTGTAGAAAACTAGTGCCTTCCCTGGGTGGCCAGGCTGCAGGAGTTAAGCCTTAAAAACTTTAACCTTTATCTCTCAGGGGTTAAAAAATCAAAATGAAATAGAAGTTCTGATAGTTTATCTTCACAGACCAATTTTTACTTTCTCTAAAGTTCACATTTTCTCCAACCCTGGATAAATGGTAATGCCCACGGTCTCAGCTCCTGCTCCCTCCTTGTCAGGCATTGCTGGGAAAGTCACTAAACTGTGTCCAGTTATTCCAATATCAGTTGGGTGCTTAACTGCCATTTGCAGTGATCCTTATTTAATATCTATGTTGTTTCCTACAATGTCAATTATAAACTTTCCCTCTCTTTGCAGACTCTCATTCTCCAGAGAAATTTTGCTGCTATAATTACAGAATCTTTGAAAATAAACATCTTCAATGTTTCTATTCCAGCCTCTAAATATTTCTCCATATTTACTTATTCTTTTTCCTGTTTTGCTCTTTCTGTATTAGAGTATGCAATCCTTTTGTCCTTTAGCTCTGTCTATATTCTATTAGTTATCCATGGTATCTCTCACACCTTCTGTTTCTTATTTTTGCATTTTCCCTCCACTCATACATATGTCCCAATGAATCAAAAAATAATTTAATAAAGTACCTCTATTTGTCCTCCAGCTATCTTTGCTCCATATCATTCCTTTCATGGCAAACTTCTTAAAAGTCTTTTTCTTTGCCTTGATTTTTTTACCCATTCACTCATCTCTTAATTCCTATTAACCAGGGTCCCACCACCAAAAATGCTCCATCTAAGATCATAATCTCAGAAGTTACTAATGAGGGTGAAATCTGTTAAGTGCTTTGCAAATATGAGAGATCATTCTTATCAAATGTCCTCCAATTTTCAATGTTTTCCTTGTCTCCGATCTCCCTTGGTTTATTAGCTGAACTTCAGAACAAAGCAATTCCTCCATTTAAAAAAATCATTTTATCCCTATCTTATCATATTTAACCTGGCCCATATCAAATAAAGGTATTAAAAGAATTAGCAGGGATATAAGCAAATTAATGATGAAACCAATGCATTCAATTGCAGTAGCATAAAAATCACATGTATACATGCATCCATTTAGTCTCTTCTTCCTCTTGTACATTATGTGCTTACTATGAGTCACATGAATCTGCCAAAAGAAAATTTTATGTATATATTTTTGTAAACTATGCCTTTAAAAATGAGCTTTGCAAATTGCATATTTGTGTTGCTTTGCATTAGGATTAATTAATTCTTTATGGTATTTTAGATGTTTTGTGAAATAAAGTCTTTAAATGATTCCTCTCTAACACTGTGGCAGTTTTTGCTTTCAGCTATGCATACATTATATATGACATGCATATTTAATGTAAATACCTCACGTATAGATGAAAAGTATGATTGTACAATTTACCACTTACCTTCAGGGGTAGGAGTTAAGAGACATTTTATTTTTAAAAGAAATTACTTGGATTAAAGATAGACAGATCTTCTCACTGCCAAACCAAATGTAAGAGTTAAAAAGGAAACTCCTAGCAAATGTAGACATACAATGGAATTGTTGGATAAAATAATAGCCTTGCTTATCTACAGTACCAAAAAATATATTTCAATATTCTCTTTGCCAAATAGGAAAAAAAAGTAACTGGGGAGAAATTTTATTTCTTAGTCTCTAAAAGGAAAGAAAAATTCAGTGTAGAAAGGAAAATTCAGTGTAAGAATACATAAATTGTAAATGTCATTTAACAGATATCACATGTGAAAGTGCCTTCAGTGCACTATTTCCAATTTGCTTAGACAACTTGAAAGTAAAACATCTAGATAAGTGCCCATACCTTGCCCCAGAAAGGCCAAGCTTGAAAGAGAAACAGTATTTTCTGATTTAACTTATTATTATTGATTCACAAGGGAGAAGTTGCATTCAAATATGTATTTTCAAACTAACATCATACACTAAAAACATCAAAATACATTGAAACAGTGTTTAAAGAAAGAAAAAAAATGAGAATAAAACTCTCATAATTCACATGCAAACAGATCCATTCCAGCTCACACTGGCAGCCTAAAGTGTGAATAATTTCTTTTAATATGCATTTGTTAAAAATCCAATTAAAGTCAATTGTAAGAGGAAAAAAGTATCTACCCAATATTTACTTTTGACATTATATTCAAAGTTCTTTTGTGTCTCATTCCAAGTTGTAACCTTCTCATTTAAACCGCTCAATCACTTAGTCTATCACAGAGGCATAATTACTGCCTTACCTCATTCAATCTTGCTTTTCATGCCCCACCTCAGTGCAGCTAGTGCTGAACCAGAGTTATATGTCAGGAAGACTACCAGCTGGAGGACTCTGCCGTACATCTCACAGGGGAGTTTTTAATAGAGCCCTATTTTAAACAGTTACACAAGCATTGCTAAGCAGGTGGTTCAAGGAAGTCCCGGTTCTTACTCATATTTGCACATCTTTTCTCCCAAGCCAGGGATATATACCACATTCAAGTTTAGTCTCCATAGTGTGAAACCAAGTGAAATTTGGGACATCTTTGAATAAGTCATGATATGAATCTATAAACCTAGACTATTTACTATCTCTGTAATATTCTAGTCCTTCCAGATCTAAATAGACTACTTTTACCCACATATACTGAGCTGACAGGTTACATTTTTTTTGCAGAATGTTTATATTATATTCACGAGAAAAGATATGAACACATTACAAAGGTTACAGTAATTCTGAATAAAATAAAAAAAAAAAACCCTCCAAATCCAAAGACACACTTAATAAAGAAGTTTAAATATAATACAGATGGAAAAAAATGTACCAGACATTATGAACAAAAAATATCTAGGTAGAAATTTTAATATCTAATGAATTCAAATTTAAGACAAAACTATATTTTAAAAAGAAAAAAAAAGATGCTGTATTCTGATAAAAGGAACAACAAAAAATATACAGCATGAACATTCTAACATATACAGAGCTAACTACATAGCCTCAAAATATATCAAGGAACCTAAAAGAACTCTAGAAGAAACCATTCTAGCTATTGATTTTACACCACTTGTAGGTACAAAGAAAGCAACCATATAAAAGTATGTGCAGAGATACCAAACGTCTGAAAAAAACAACTCATAAGCTTGAGATTATATATAGAACTCTACAACCCACAGAGAAGAACATATTGTTTTTGAGCACATACAGAACATTAACAAAAAGAGTTCACATATTCAGTCATGAGGCAGAGGTAACAAAGCCCAAAGGACAATATGATACATTTGTCCTCTGTCCTCAATACAACAAAATTCAAAATTAATAACAGAAAGATAACTTTAATTTCCTACATATATTGGAAATTAAATAACATATTACTAATTAATTCCTGTATCAAAATAAAATAAATTAAGAAACATTTTGGAACCTAATGACAATGAAAACAGAGCTTGTCAAACTGTGTGGGACAGAGGTGAAGTGAAAGGACAGTTTAAATGTGTGTATCAGGGGGTGCCTGGGTGGCTCAGTCGGTTAAGCATCTCAGGTCAGGTCATGATCTCAGGATCCTGGGATCAAGCCCCATGTCGGGCTCCTTGCTCAGTGGGGAGTCTGCTTCTCCCTCTACTCCTCCCTCTGCCCCTCCCTCTGCTTGTGCTCTCTCTCTCTCAAATAAATAAATAAATAAATCTTTAATTAGTAAATAAATAAATAAATGTGTGTATCAGGAAACAAGGAAGATTAAATACAAACAAACTCAATGTTTCATGAAAGAAATTGTAGAATAGCAACACCTAAAGAATCAAAGGAAAGAAATAATAAAGATAAAGGAAGAAATCAATAACATTGATAGTAAAAAATGGAGACAAGTAAGAAAAATATAGCTATTTTTTTAAGAAAGAATTTAAAAACCCTGACCAAAAAGAAGAGGCAAGATGTAAATAAACACAATGCAGAACAGAAAAGGGAAATAAAACATAAAAGAGGCTTAAAATATTAGAGTATTATAACAATTATATCAATAAACTTGAAAGCCTATGTAAAATGGATATATTCCTAGAAAATTATAAAATGCCAAAATTGACAAAAGATAAGATTAAGCACTGAAGAGACCACTAAATCTTACAGAAATTTAAATGGTAGCCAATAGCTCTCTTTCTACAAAGTTTCAGGTCTAGATGGCTTTATAGGTCAGTTCTACCACACTTTCAGTGAGTAGCTAATTTCTGTCTTAATTAATACATATACATTTTTTAATTTAAAAAGGGGCAAAAAAGGACCCAAGTAATTTATGGGGCTACTGCAATGCTAAGACAATGCAAATGAGCAAAATCATGAGGCCATTTCACTTATTAACATGCAAACAAAATTCCTAAAGAACATATTAGCTAACTAAAAGTCCAAGAAAATATGTCATAACTTAGCAGAGTATATTACAGAAATGCAAGGGTGTTTCAACATCCCAAATGTACATTCTACCACATTATTATTAAGACAAAGAAAAAATATGATTTTCTCAAATCATGATTTAAAAAACCTTTTGCAAACTAGAAAAAGCAGGGAATTCTCTTAAAGAGTAAGTGAATATATGTGTTAGTTATCTACTACTATATAAACCCAAAACTTGGCAACTTAAAACAATTAGCATTTATTATCTCCTATTTTCTGTGAATCAGTCAAGTGGATATAGATGAGCTGGGTGGTTCTGCCTGAGTCTCTAAAAGGCTGCTATCAAGATGTGGGTGGGCCAGGGCCATAATCATCACTAAGTTTCACTGAAGGAGGATCCACTTCCAAACCCACTCACAGGCCTCAGTAGAACTGCTTCCAAGCTCATCCACATGACTTAACTGACCACAGAAAATCTACATCCAGCTCATTTATGTGGGCCTTTCCACAGGGCTGCCTCATGAGAGGGCAACTGATTTCCCCCAGAACTAAAAATAGAGTGAACCCAAGACAAAAGCAACAGTTTTTGTTATAACCTAATCTTGGAAGTGGCATCGTATCACTTCTGCTGTATCCTATTCATTAGAAGTGAAAAAATAAGCTCACTCCACCCTCAAGGAAAGACAAGTACACAAGAGCATAAATACCAGAAGGCAGGGATCACTGGGGGGTCATCTTAGGGGCTGTCTACCAACATGTGATATACCAAAACCTGCAACAATGGAGGAACTTTAGTGGGAAAATTAGAATATAAATGCATTCAATTTAAGATGGAGAGTAAGACAAAGATGCCTATTGTCTTTATGCACACTACTTTTAATGACTGATAAACTCCGGTAGTCTTGGCCAAGACTACCTTTGGAGTCTTAAGAAAGAAGACACAAACTGTCAAGAAATGAACATCTACCCTTAAAAAAATCAGTAACTATAAAAACTATAGCAAGTTTACCGACTAAAAAAAATCAACCTACAAAATTAAAAGCATTTATTTAAATCAGCAACAACCCAATAAAATAGGACTTAAAAATACGGTATTATTCATAATAGCAACATAAATCATAAAATATCTAAGAAGTAATGAAAGCAAGAATATAAATTTCCTCTTTAGAGGAAACAATAAAATTATAAGAAATGACTACATTAGTCAGTTCCAAGTACTATAACAAAACACCATTGACTAGTGACTTAAACAACAGATATTTATTTCTCAGGCTGGGAAATCCAACATCAAGTTGCTGGCAAATTCATTTCCTAGTGAGGGACCTCTTCCTGGCTTACAGATGACTGCCTTCTTGTATAGTTACATGGCAGAGAGAAAGAAAGCTTGGTCTCTCTTCCTTTTCTTATAAAGATACTAATCAAATCATGGGGGCCCAACCTCACTACCTCAATTTAAATCTAATTACGTCCTAAAGGCCTCACCTCCAAATACCATCACATTAGAGCTTCAACATTAACTTGGAGGGGGCCACAAACATTCAGTCCATAACAAGAACATAGATGTTTACCTGAATAAATGAAGGGACATTCAATATCATTAAAAAGATCAATTCCAACTGGTTATTTTTGAGTAACCCAAAACACTTACTCTAAAGTTTCATGGATATATAAAAGTCTGGGGAAACTAATCCAACCTTATAAATGAGGGATAAGACATTACCTGGCTTCCCAGATATAATTCATATAATAAATTTAAAGCCATAAGAAAGGGTGATATTGATGCTATATTAACAAATAAAACAATAAAAAAGAAAGCTCGAAGAGAGACCCTGGCATATATGGGAACATTTTAGGCTCATATATAGTCAAAGAATGGGTTTTTTTAATGTTATACCAGTCTTGCATTCCTGGGAAAAAAACTACTTGATGATGATATATTAGTCTCTTTATGTATGGCTAGATACAGTTTGCTAGAATTTTGTTTAGGATTTTTATATGTATGTTCATGAGTGATATTAGTCTGTAGTTTTATTATAATATCTATGTGTAGTTTGGTATCAGGTTAATGCTGGACTCATAGAATAAATGGAAAAGTTTCCTCTCTTTTTCTACTTTCTGAAGAGTTTCTGGAGAAGAATTATTTTTTTTTCCATAAATATCTGTTAGCATTCACTAGGGAAGACATCTGGACCTGTAACTTTCTTCACAAGAACATATTTAACTACAGATTCAACATCTTTCATAGATATAGGACTAGTTGTGTTATTTATTTCTTCTTGAATAAGCTTTATAGTTTATTTCTTTCAAGAACTTTTTCTATTTCATGTAAGTTGTCAAATTTATTGGCAGAAAGTTGTTCATAAATTTCCTATGTATCTTTAATATTTGTAGTGATATTGTGTCTCTAATTCCTGATTGTTGGTAACCTGTATTATCTCTCTTTTTTCTTGTTCACTCTGTCAATTCAAAGGTTTATCCATTTTATTGATCTTCTCAAAATACCAGATTTTTTCATTGATTTTCTCTGTGGTTCTGTTTTCTATTTTATTGACTTCCACTTTGATATTTATTTTTTCTTTCTTCTCTTTACTTAGTATTTAATTTTCTCTTCTTTTTCTAGCTACTTAGTACTTGTTAGTTACTTAAAGTTGAAACTGAGGTAATTAACTTGAGACCTTTCCTGTTTTCTAATATAGGCATTCAGTGCTATAAATTTCCTTGTAAGTACTACTTATCACCATCCATAAATTTTAATATGTTCTCATTTCCATTCATCTCAAAATTCTCTCTAATTTCCCTTTCTATTTCTTCCCTGACCCATGGGTTATTTAGAAGTGTGTTCTTTCAAAAAAAAAAGAAGTGTGTTCTTTCATTTCCAAATAATTGGCTACTTTCCAGATACCTTTCTTTTATTGATTTCTAAGTTACTTGCACAGTAGTCAGAGAATACATATTCTATGACTTAGATACTTGCA